CATGATAAAAAGCTAGGTATAAATTAAGAGGACATCACTAATATAATTTAAGAGAGATAATACTCCCAACTCCCGATCAGGAAATTAAGAAAAATACTAAGGCAAAGTATCTCTCAAGTCACACTCAAAGCTTACTATTTCATGGACATATTCATGCAGTTAAAATGTCTTTGTACAATCTACCAAGTGGCATAATCTATCTTGTTTGAAGATGTTAAGTAACTAATGCTAAATGACTAGCAAGATGTTTCTCAGCTATTTAAGCAATAAATTTAATTGACTCTGAGTGATGGCAATAAACTAGACTGTCCCTCCCTCTCTCCCAGGGGCAGTCACAGATATACTGTATGTGTGACTTAGGCATCTACATTACCTGTATCCATTTGTCAGAGCCTGTGTGAAGACTTACCATCCCAGCATTTCTGTGTAACACTTTGGACAAAAGCTGAGAATATATGTCGCTGAGGCTTGAATTGTGGAGTTCTTGGTGCTCTCTGAGTTTGGTTGTTTGCAGCAAACCTCACACTCATTGGCACTGATGATGTTACCTAGGTGGGTAATGAAACATCTGCAAGCAAACTACCAAGCTCAGAGAGCACCAAGGACTCCACAATTTGGACAAAGCCTAGACTCATTTTGCCTGCAGACACCATATTTCTGGTCATTGCTGGAAAAAGAGGGAATATTTTAAATTATTTTAAAGTTCTGCTAGAACACGGCTGTACAAAGTAACTAGGATAAAAAAACAACTGGGTGTTATTCCTCTGCATCTCTCACAAAATGTGTTTGGATGTTTTGGAGCAAGGTTTTCTGTCTCCCTCATTGTGAAACTTAATTCTGTGCCTTTGGCTACACTGTATTTGAGAGTAGTTTCTCCTTAGCTTTTTGTAATCCTCGGGAAGTGGTACTTAAATGGAAGAGTTAGATAGCCTTTGTTTATCACATTATAGAAGTAAGGACTTTTTAAAATTAGACTTCTGCTATGCTGAACCAATTGAGCTGCAATAAGCATTGTGATAGTGTGAGTACAACCTGCTACTTTCCCTTGAGTGTTAATCTCTTCTGTTGAACATACAATACCATACCAGACAATACAAAGTCTTCTTACTGGTCTTTCCTGTTTTCTGTCAAAGGGCTCTTTATGGACAAACTGAATGGACTAAAAAGAGAACTAAACATTTCAGGTAACATACCTGCTTATATCTCCTTGTCTTGACTTACAGTAATGCTATTTCAATTTTTCTTTCAAATAGCATGGATTCTTTTTATGGTTTTAACTACATAATGAATTTGAGTATGTTTTGTCTTTGTAGGCCTTTGGGTATAAAATGAGGAAATCTGCCCCATTTGAGGAAAACTTGTGTTAACTCTTCAGCTCACAAAGAGTTGCAAAAAACTATTCCAGGGCCTCTGAACTTTGATAGCAAATGATTTATGATCTGTGCTATCGAAACAAAGTATTTGAAGGTGTTTTATCTGCTTTTAACTCTTTTTTTTGGTTAAATATTGAAGAGCACCTATACAATCCTCCAAAGATAAGTGATGTTTATTTTATATAAAGATTTCTATCCCATCCTTCTAATACATATCTACCACTCAGGGATGATATGGATCCAAAACTTAGTTTAATGGAGTTTGATCCAAAAGAAGGTCTTTTCTAGAAGACAAGTTAAAATTATCAGTCATATCTGTGAAACTGATACTCTTGTTTTGATGGGAGCATGTGTAATTGAATGAAAAAGGCTTTAGTTTGGTCTTATTTATTTAGTAACTGTAATTATGTCAGGTCTGCCATGTAGTAGTACTGAATTCCTAACCATTTTTGTCTTACAATAGATAAATTTCATACAAGATTTGTGGGCAAAGGTACAAGATACTCTTCTACATCAATAAGCCTGCAATGTAATATATATGTAAGTAGCATTCTTCCTGGCACGTTTTTCCAGAAGTACATCCCATGGAATTTAGCACTACTCATTTTTATCAAGATGCTGGGAAAGATTGAAGGCAAAAGGAGAAGAGGACGGCAGAGGATGAGATGGTTAGATAGCATCACTGAAGCAATGAG